AAGGGAGTCTTTAAAAACTGTCAACGATAATAACTTTTAAAATTACGTACCTTAAATCTGATTTTAAAGAGAGTGAATATAACTTGGGCATTAAGATGACCACCACTGACCTGGACATTAACGGAGGCGCCCTTATCCAGTAAGGCCTTGAGCACAAAGAGGTGTCCCCAGTAAGCGGCGTGGTGCAGGGGGGTTTTACCCCCTGCGTCTGCCAGGTTGGGGTTCGCACCAGCCTCCAGCAGCGCGTCGGCGATCAGCACGTCGCCCTACATCAAGGTTTCTCTTATTAAAAACAGTTTACATATCAGTAGTGTGCTGCTACTCTATAGGTTAGTTACATAGTGGGGAAAAGCTAGCTATGTTTCCCTGTCATATTCCATCACACAGCATAGGTTTCCCCTGTCATATTCCATCACACAGCATAGGTTTCCCCTGTCATATTCCATCACACAGCATAGGTTTCCCCTGTCATATTCCATTACACAAGATAATTAGTTTTTTTACAAGAGTTAAATAAATGTGTCACCCAGAGCTGGAAGACTCCACTGTGGATTCAATGGCAACGACAGCGTCAAAGGTTTCCCTCCAGCAGGAAGAAAACCTTGGGCATTTCCTAAGGGTAAAGATAGTCTTACCACAGGGGTGAAAAAGCCTTATGGGTCAGGCTTTAGTACCAGACACTATACACAGTTTTGAGGACAAATACAACAGGGCTCGCGAGGTACGAATCTTCTTGATAAAATAGTACGAGCTTAAGAGAAGGATGCTAAAAATCACGGTGATGTTAGCGCTACCAGCGAGTAGCATTGGCCTTACCACCAATGTTAGTGTTTTCTAGAGCAGGGTTGTGACCTTACCCATGGGACTGACCTTGAAGGCGGCGTGGCAGAGGACGGGGAAGCCGAAGGAGTCGCGGGAGTCAGGGTCAAGCGTGTCCCTTCAGGAGGCTGGCCACGTGACCCACGTTGACGGCATGTACTGCCGTCACCAGGAACTCATTGACCTGGTGGAGACGATAACAGTGGTGACTCCTCCTGCAGGTGTCTCTTGGTAGGTGTTACTGTGTCTCCTAGTAGGCGTTACTGTCTTTCCTAGCAGGTGTTACTGTCTGCTAGTAGGCGTTACTGTCTCTCCTAGCAGGCGTTACTGTCTCCTAGTAGGCGTTACTGTCTCTCCTAGCAGGTGTCACTATGTCTCCTAGTAGGCGTTACTGTGTCTCCTAATAGGTGTTACTGTCTCTCCAAACAGGTGTTACTGTGTCTTCTAGCAGTATACCTCCTAATATATTCCCCCATACTTCTCCCATATCTCGGGATCTATTATGGAGATTGTATCTTAAAATAAATCATAAATTATGAAGTAGGTAGGTGGCATTATTAACCAGGGTGGGTGACATTATTAACCAGGTGGGTGACATTATTAACCAGGTGGGTGACATTATTAACCTGGTGGGTGGACGCTATTCAGCAGGTAGGTGACGTTAGAAACGAGGTGGGGGACATTATTAACCAGGTAGATGACGTTACTAACCAGGTGGGTGACGTTACTAACCAGGTGGGTGAAGATCTGGCCCTCCTTGTTAGGTATGGATGTGTCGCAGCCCCGGTCCAGCATGAGTTGATCAAAGCCTGGATGACATCCTTCTATAGCAGAGTGTAACGGGGTGTTGCCTCGCTGATCCTGCCAGAGGTACACTACAGTCACTGACTGTAGCTACGAGGTACCTACCCTCCCCTGGGTACACTACAAGGTACCTTACAGTCACTGTACCCTCCAGAGTACATTACAAGGGTACACTACACTCACTAGTGGTGTAGCTATGAGGTACGTACCCCTCAGGGTACATTACAAGGGTACCATACACTGTACCCTCCCCAGGGCACAGCACAATCACTGGTGATTGTGCTGTTCAGTCATCAGTTACAAACATTTATTCTTACTGATTATCCAACGTATTGAAATCTGATATAAGTCAGACAATTTTAAGCACCATTATTACACAAAAAATATTATTCTACAAAGAATCCTGTTTTATTGAATACAAGTAATTTTTTCTTACTTATTGGTTAGGGTAGATAAGACTGATTAAGTTAGGTCAGAGAAGAAGGATTTGGATGAGACAGGCAAGTCAATCAGAGTTACATAGAGATAAGAACAGAGGAACACTGCAACAGGCCTACTGGCCTGGAGCGCAGGGGAAGGGATACCCACCGAAGCGTTGAGGTTGGCGCCAGCGTCGATAAGAAGCTCTGCGATGCGCAGGTGGCCGTGGAAAGCTGCGGTGTGCAGGGGCGTGGTACGGTTACTGTCCTCAGCGTTGACGTTGGCTCCCCTGCAGGAATACCACCAATAACAACGCCACCTCAGTCAGTATGTACAACACACCCTGGCCACAATATGGATAAGGACACTGCAGCAGAGCGTCTAGCCCATGCTAGGCAGGTCCTTCCCAACCCCAACCTTTCCCCCTCCTCAAAAATCACTTATGCACTGCTAAGTTTTGAACAGCAAAAGGAGCATACAAGTGAGCAAGCTTTTATCAGGAATCAGGACAACGTTTCGCTCACTGTAGAGCTTCATCACATGCAGTTACAACAACTAGACTAACTTAATTGTTATTCAACTTGAAACACATGTGTCTACTCTGTCGACATATTTTATATTTCAATACAGTCTATTAGAGCAGGTAGACTGATCTAATATTTACCAACTAAGAGCAGAGTCTAGGAACGCAAGAGTGATTTTAGATGATTACTGACCCAGAAAAGACTGATGGAGGCTAATTAAGATGGTAATTAACACTAGCCAATTAATATGAGTGGAGAAATTGACATAATGATCGTTAATGTCAGTCTTCAGTATTATTATTATTATTAAATAATAATAATAATAGCAATAATAATAACTATCAAACATTATTAGCATGCCCAGTCATCATCAATTATTATTTATCTTGCCTCTCGAGCAGAATGGAGACGAATGTTGAGGTGTCCCCTAGCAGAGGCGTGGTGCAGGGCCGACCAGTGGAGGTTACCCTTTATGTCTGGACTCAGTCCCCAGTCCAGCCATTGCACCAGCGTATCGCAGTCCCCGACTCCACCACTGGCATCACCTGCTGACCCACCTGTGAGTGGACTGGTCGGTTTTAAATTTGGGGTTTAACACACACCTCCAATTAGGGTCATTAAAAGCTACATGACGCATTTTTCATTACTCTTCGAGGAGGCTTCAATCTTTTCAATTAAGCTCCTCTATTTAGCGCAGTTTTCCGTGAATGTGTTTGAACAAGTGCATCGAGAACTGAACATCACTTAGGCTTTCCCGCCTTTACGAAAAAAATGCGCTAAATAGAGGATCTTATTATTATTATAAGAAAGGTTACTGTACTGTCTGCTCATGTGCACTGACAGATGCACACATCTGCCTTGGTATATACCCTGTGGTCTACCTATTACACATATGTTAATAGTATTTCACATATAACTCCAAAATAAATATGTTATAGATTTGTTGTGTGAGCCTTCAGTGGTCGTACAAATTCTCTTGATCCAAGGAATTAAGAGTCCCCCCTCCGCTCCCTAGAATCAAACGTAATTTCTTTTCGTACCCCATGTGTTGAATGACCCCTACGGGTCTAGGATACAACACTGAGCAAGATGCACACAGACACACACACACACACACACACACACACACAGACACACACACATTCACACACACACACACACACACCCACAAAACACACACACACACACACACACACAGACACACACACACGACACACACGGGACACACACACACAGACACACCACACAGACACACACACACACACACACACACACACACACACAGACACACACACACACACACACACACACACACACACACACACACACACACAAAACCCCACACACACACACACACAGGACACACACAGACACACACACACAGACACAACACACACACACACACACACACACCCCACACACACACACAACACACACACACACACAAACACACACACACAGACACACACACACACACACACACACCCCACCCCACACACACAGACACACACACAGACACACCAGACACAACACACCAGACACACACACACAGACACACACACACACACACACACAACACACACACACACACACACACCCCCACACACACACACACACACATGTCAAAGCAGCAAGGCTAGGATCCCGAGTTTAGAAGAGGAACTGAAAAATCTGAAACAGCCTAAAGAACAAAAGAACTTTTTTGGGACTGACAACAGAGACTGCTACCTCAGCCACAAATAAGGGGACAGTAGGGAAAGAAGGACCACAACTGCATGGAGAAGCTCTATCAGAGGAGACTGTAGAAAAATGAAAGAGCTAAGCTTTATGTGGAGGCCCTAACAGACAACAAACAGAGCCCAAGGAAAGCCGAGAAGGGAAAATGACAGGCCACTGAGCCCAAGTACATTAGCTAGTGAAACTGAAGAAAGGGAAGCTGCAGTGGAGGAAACCAAATTTAAAAATGAGGGGATACACATATGAAGCAAGAAAACAAGGGAAAAAAAGCAATTGAAAGCAACATGAAAGCAATAGGAGAAAAACGACATGACCCAGCTGGAAAATTTCGGAGAATGGGGGGGTTGTAAAAAAAAAAACCGGCCAGTGAAAGTGACCTTCAAGGCAGAAGCGACTCGGAACGGGACCTGCAGGAGAAAGCACGATTAAGGGGGACATGCCGGCATACAGGAAGGTGTATCTTGACCGCGACAGAACACAAGATGAAAGGCAGAAACTGAGAGAGATGGTACAAAGGCGAAAGGAGGAAAGAGGGGGGATGGAGAAGACAGACAGGAGATCCCAGACCCAGGAAAGACGATCAAAAAACAGCCTCCCCTCACAACTTCCTATAGAAGCCTCCCAACCAGGTCAACCCCAGTGAAACCCAAAAACACTCTAAATCAAAACATCCATGCCACATCCAATGCCCCCACTCACTACATTACAAACTCCACACCCACAGCAACAACCCATATTTTCCTTACCAGGTCTCCCACTTCCCCAACCCCAATACACCTCCCAGACCACAGTCTTAGAAAAGAAGTTGAAGGTTTGTGGTATACAAATGCAGTTTGGAATAACAAACAAGTAAGAGGAGTGGCACGAAAGAATCAAGGAGACACCCCCCCAGACATAATAGCACTCACAGAAAACAAAACTCACCAGAATAAAAAACAGATTCAATCTTTCCATCCGGATATCAAATTCTCATGAAAGACAGAGGGAGGAAAAGGGGAGGAGGAGTTGCACTGCTCATTAAAATCAGTGGGGTTTTTTGAGAAAATGGAAGAATGGATGGCACGGGCGAAAGGGACTACTTACTAGGAACAATCCAGCCCTGAGGGACAAAAGGGTGGAAAATTTTGCAGTAATGTACAACCCACCACAGAACTGCAGGAGGCCAAGAGAAGAATATGATGAGAGCAACAGAGCAATGTTTCGACACACTAGCCGAGGTGGCCAGGAGAGCACACATGGGGGGAGCAAATTACTTAGTTATGGGTGATTTCAATCACAAGGAGATTGACTGGGAAAACCTAGAGCCCCTGGGGGTCCCGAAACATGGAGAGCCCAAATGAGGATGTGGTACTGGCAAACCTCATGCATCAGAAATTTTTAGAGACACTACCAAGAGAGAGGAGGGGAAATGAACCAGCAAGACGGACCTTGTAGTAGTTCGGACATCGAGGGTATCATGTATGAAAGGCCCCTGGGAGCTAGTGATCATGTGGTTCGTGCTTCGACTACATAGTGAGCTCCAAGTGGAGAGAGTAGCAGGAATAGGCTGGAAAAACCAAACAAACAAAAAGGGAACTACTCAGGCATGAGGAACTCCTTTAAGACATTCAGTGGAGAGGGAACTGACAGGAAAACCAGTACAAGAAATGGGACTATGTGGCAACAAAATGCAAGGAGGCAGAGGAGAGGTTTGTTCCCAAAGGGGAAACAAAAATAATGGGAAGAACAGAACGATCCCTGGTTCACCCAAAGGTGTAGGGAGGCAAAAACTGGTGTACTGAGAAGGGAAAAAGGGTACAGAAGACAGAGAACTCAGGAAAATAAAGAGATTAAGCCGAAGAGCCAGAAACGAATATGCACTGATAAGAAGGGAGGCTCAGAGACAATAGAAAATGACATAGCATCAAAAATAAAGACTGACCCGAAGCTGTTGTACAGCCACATCAGGAGGAAAACAACAGTCAAGGACCAGGTAACAGACTGAGGAAGGGTGAGGGGAATTTCACAAGATACACCGAGAGGTAAAGTCAGGAGCTCAACACAAGATTTTAAAGAGGTATTTACAGTGGAAACCAGTAGGACTCCAGGAAATCAGGGAAAAGGGGGAAAACACCAGCAAGTGCTGGAGATGTACATATAACCAAGGAGGAGGTGAAGAAGCTGCTATGCGAACTTGACACCTCAAAGGCGGTGGACCAGACAACATCTCTCCATGGGTCCTTAAAGGGAGCAGAGATATTTTGTGAGCCATTAACAAAGATCTTCAACACATCATTTGAAACTGGGCAACTCCCGAGGTATGGAAAATGGCAAATGTAGTCCCAATTTTTAAAAAAGGGAGACAGACATGAGGCACTAAACTACAGACCTGTATCACTAACGTGATAGTATGCAAGGTCATGGAAAGATCATCAGGAGGAGAGTGGTGGAGCCCCTGGAAAGAAACCCAAATGTATAACTGACAACCAGCACGGTTTTCAGGAAGGAAAATCCTGAGTCACAAACCTACTAAGTTTTTATGACCCAAAGGGGACAGAAGTAAGACAAGAGAGAGAGGGGTGGATCGACTGCAAAATTTTTTTGGGCTGCAAGAAGGCCTTCGACACAGTTTCCTCGCAAGAGGTTACTGCAAAAGCTAGAGGATCAGGCAACATAACAGAGAAAGGCACTGCAATGGATCAGAGAAAAACCTGACAGGGAGGCAACAACGATCATGGGAACGCGACGAGGTGTCAGAGTGGGCGCCTGTGACAAGCGGGTTCCACAGGGTCAGTCCTAGGACCTGTGCTGTTCTTGGTAATGTGAACGACAAAAATGGAAGGGATAGACCAGAATGTCCTTGTTTTGCAGATGATGCGAAGTTAATAGAAGAACAAATCGGATGAGGATTTAGGCAGGACTACAAAGAGACCTGGACAGGCTAAAAAGCCGGTCCAGCAACTGGCTCCTTGAATTTTAAACCCCGCCAAATGCAAAGTCATGAAGATTGGGGAAGGGCAAAGAAGACCGCAGACACAATATAGTTTAGATGGCCAAAGACTGCAAACCTCACTCAAGGAAAAAGATCTGGGGGGGAGTAAAAACACCGAGCATATCTCCTGAGGCGCACATCAATCAGATAACTGCTGCAGCATACGGCGCCTGCAAACCTACGGATAGCGTTCCGATACCTCAATAAGGATTCGTTTTTAAAACTCTGTAAAACCATTTACGTCAGGCCCATACTGGAGTATGCAGCACCATTTGGAATCCACCTAGTCCCCAAACACGTCAAGAAATTAGAGAAAGTGAAAAGGGTTTTCAACAAGACTAGTCCCAGAGCTACGGGGATTGTCCTACGAAGAAAAGGTTGAGGGGAAAACGGCCTGACGACACTGGAGGACAAAGGGGGGTCAGGGGGGACATGATAACGATATATAAAATACTGCGCAGAATAGACAAGGTGGACAAAGACGGGATGTTCCAGAGAAGGGGCACAGACACAAGAGGGGCACAATTGGAAGTTGAAGACTCAGATGAATCAAAGGGATGTTAGGAAGTAATTCTTTTAGTTCATAGAGTAGTCAGGCCGTGGAATAGCCTAGAAAGTGACGTAGTGGAGGCGGAACCATACATAGTTTTAAAGGCGAGGTAAAGATAGAGCTCATTGGGCAGGGAGAGAGAGGACCTAGTAGCAATCAGCGAAGAGCG